GTATATATATATATATATATGGTATATATAAGGACGAAATCTTTTTCTGAAAGAAATAATGTAGTGTTTATTAAGAGAAAATGTAACATTCACTAAGATAGATTATGATTCTCAAAAATATTTAGAAATAATAATAATACTTTTATTTCCTTGATCATCAATGATGGGATAAATATTGATAGATATTCGTATGTAACACTAGAAGAATCAATTTTTTTTAATATATCGTTTGGCAGTTCTATGAAAATGCTCAGAGACAAATATGATACTTAAAGTAATATTGACTAGATATTTATTTAAGAAGCACGAGCCTTTCACGATTGTCTACGCTAACGTAAGGAATATATTGTCGTTACGCGTTGGAAGGGAAAGAAAGAGATATGTCATTGTCTCTGCATTAGCTATAAATAATACGTTGATATCTGTGTGTAAAGTTTGTACGTGCAGTGCGCTTTGGTACGTCGTGTATAAGCGAGAAATATCATTAAAAATGTATTAACTGTCACAAAGTGACGATTGGCAGATTATTACAGATTAGATAAAAAATTTGGCGTACATTATTTGCAAGATTTTTGATTGTCGTGAGATAGCCGTATTTTTTTATACGAATTAATCTTTATAAATTTTGCTACTTCTCGATATCATTTATATATCCGTGACTTAACTCTTTGAATCCAAACAACCACCCGGATAATAAATTAATGGCGTCATCGCGTCCCATCCATCGATCTCTTCATTCGACTGCACCGCTCTTTTTTGAGCGTTTAGCATCACCGTGCTGTGCTTGGGACTGCTGGGTGCCGATCTACAGGTGATCTGAAGTATCCCGGGTGTGCCAAAACGGAAGCTCTTGGTTCCAGGTCGCAGAAGGCACGACTCGTTGCCAAAGATCAGATTGGTTCGCAGCAGCGGCACGTTCTTGATGTCCGGCGACATTGGTGTCAGGTTGAGTTTCGGTTGAGTTTCCTGATCGCAGAGCTTCTCGACGCAGGGACACGAGTTGCTGGAGGATCGCCAGCTCTCCATGCAGGATGATCGCAACGCGCACGAGATCTTCATCTTGCACGGACTGTTGTCGACTATCGACTCCAGCTGGCTCACTCTGGAGCCCTTTTGATCGAGATGATCCGAGCTGGCGAATCGCAGGCGCTTCGGGGACTCGCTGGAACACCTCATGAAAGTCGATCTGACGAGAGACTTGTTCTTCAGGGAACTTCGAGGAACCAAAGAGTCCACCGTGCTGTTTTTCTTGCCGTCGCCGTTTCGCTTGCTCGCTCTTTCCTTGTTCCGCTTGCCGCGTAATATCGGATCCTCTCCGATCAGCCAATACGTCAAACGCTCGCCCTTGCCCTTCATGGAAACCACCCCGCGCTCGACGAGGCTAAATCCTCCCAGTTGGTCCAGCAGCTGCTTCGTCTCGCTGCTACAGTGAATTTTCAGCGCTACGAAAACGCAAAATTTATATATCAAGAATTTTGGCAACGCGTTTCTATTGAGCAATCGTGCGGACGATATTTATAAAGATCGAAGTCAAATTTAGCAGTTTGTCTTAGTTACTCATTAACCCATTTGTACATTTACATTTAGCCTAACGCTTTATTTCATATCGATACCGGATTGTACATTAAAAAAATTATCGATAACGCTTACGTAATCCCGTAGACTCCATACGCGAAGCGGTGTTAACTGTATCGCCGAATAAACAGTATCGTGGCATTTTTAGTCCGACCACGCCAGCACATACTGGACCTATATGGGTAAAAGTTATCATTATTCATTTTTTTCTCATTAAAATGTTCTTTTAAAAAAGCGTACCGGAATGTATTCCTATGCGGAGTTGCAATTTGTCAAGCGGCCTGTGACGAATGGTGAACTGCTTGATGGCGTCTAATAGGCACAATGACATACTCGCTATTTCACCAGCATGCTGAATACCATTTCTTATCGGCAGTCCACTTACCTACAAGATAAAATTCGGTGGGGATAGAAAAATGTAGAATGACAAAATTATTAAGCAACTTCATTAATAATAATTTATAAGTTTTCTGTCTGGAATAAATTTAAATAATTGTGTAATTTTTTATTTCGTCATAGTTACCACCATGTAAGCGTCCCCGATGGTTTCTACTTTGTAAACGTCATAATTTTCGATGGTCGAGTCGAAGCATGTGTAGAGATCGTTCAGAAAATCAACAACCTGAAACGCAGCAACGTGGCTATATTATGTATGCGAATATATGGTTATTTTTAACAAGAAAAATTAATCGAGTTTATACAGCAGCAATTAATAACACGTTTATTTAAATATGTCGTTTTAACGTAAACACGTATTATGTAAAAATTACTTCTCACTTGCAATGGCGTGCTTTCCGCAGACATAGATGTGAAACCAACAATGTCGCTGAAATAAATGGTGACACAGTCAAAACTTTCAGCTTCTACTTTATGTCCTTTTTTCAGTTGTTCGGCTACATAACGCGGTAACATTTCGTGCAACAATGCGTCTGAAAGAAGATATAAATTATACTTATGAATCATCTATTCATATTTCTCTCAGATAACAACAAAATAATAATAGTAGAATTTAATTCTATTTTTTTTTTTACTAAACCTGTTTTCTTTTTTTCTTCAGTCAATTGATCTGTTCGCTCATCAACAAGTGCTTCAAGATTGTTCGCATATTTTTCCATCATCGCCATCATATTGTCGAAAATATTCGCTTTCCTATGATAAAAGTATAAATTTTATATCTGTTATTATTTTACACGCTAAATAAATTTATTTATTATTAGTCAAATAAAAAAAGAGAATATAATTCTCGAAAAAATAGTTACTTTCCATAAGATTAAT